GGTCTAGGGTTTAGGGTTGAGGGCACAATAGCGGATTTCCTCGAGGTGTTGCTGTTTGATGCCCGTTGAGGGCTCCTGTCCTAAGGCTTAGGGGCCCGGTGCAGCACATACCCCCTAAGCCCTAAGGCATGACACGGCTAAACCATAAACCCTAAACGCTAAGCACCAAGAAGTCGAAACCCTTAACTTAAGCCTGGACCCTAAACCCTAAACCCTAAACCCTAAACGCTAAGCACCAAGAAGTCGAAACCCTTAACTTAAGCCTGGACCCCACTCCCTAAAATCTGAAAGCAATGAGCCCTGAAGATCCCTAAACCGCACGACCTCTTGGACCCCAAACCTTGAACCAAGCCCTACTAACAATCCTACATCAGCCCTGCATCAACAGGGCACATATAAATACTAAACCCTACTTGAAAGAAACCCAAAACCCTAAAGCCTCTCGAAAAGATGCGCTGAACAATTATGATCTCACGAAACGAATCTCATCCCTCCACCTGAGATCAAACCCAAAATACTCCAAACCCTAAACCCTACCTGGACTGGACCCTAAAGAACCTACTTTTCGAAGGACTTATATAAGGAAATCAAAAGAAGGAGCCCTGAAAAAGGTAGGTTCTTTGAGGTCCCTAAATCGTATATCCTAAACCCTAAAGCCGCAAACCCTAAAACCCTAAACCTTAACCCTAAAACCCTAAACCCTAAACCCTAAAATCCCAAACCCTAAAAACCCTAATCTCCCGAAACTCCGTCCACTGAGGAGGAACCCAGGCTGTCGCTGCAGGGCTTCGCCAAGGAGTGTGCCGACCTTTTCCAGCGACACTATGAGATTCGTTTAGGGGCTTAGGGTTTAGGGTTTAGGGGTTTAGGGTTTAGGGGTTTAGGGTTTAGGGGTTTAGGGATTAGGGTGTAGGGTTCAGGGGCCCTAAAACCCCAAACCCAAACATGCGTGTTTGTTTATGTGTTTGTGTGTACGTGTGTGTTTCCGTATGTAGTGCATGGAGGGGGAGTGCATAAGACTTTGGTTGTTATCTCTCTGCGTGTGTGTGTGTGTGTGTATGTGTGTGCGTGCGCTTTCTTTTGTGGGTTTACCGCTGTGGGGTTTGGGGCTTCAGGGCTTTTAGCGTTGTTCCTGGTCCCATTCATGGTCTTCTCTTTACAGTGTAGGATAGTTTAAGATACTGTCGATGATATAAATCCTGCAATACCTAAAGGACTCGACTCTGAACTATGGGAATGATGGTATATTCCTTATTATGGGTAATGCAGGATTTACATCATCAGCCGTAGTTTAACTCTTAGGGTTCTAGGATTCCAGGAAGCCGGGTTGGAGGTCTTCACGCGAGACGCTTTCTAGTCGGGTTCATGTAGGGGGGTTCGTTAACAAAATAAGGGCAAAAAGGTGAACCAAAATACATACCTACCTACCTATACCTGCCTGCCTGCCTACCTACATACATTCATAAATATAAATATATATATATATGTATATATAGATAAACATCGTACATGCATGCTACATACATACATGCATACATACATGCATGCATACATACGTACATCTGTACATCTATACGTACATACATACATACATACATACATACATACATACACATACATACATACATTACACATATTCCTTCACATATTATTAGCATATGCCCTGAATTTCAGATGTTTTTGGTTCCCGCTCAGGAGTTTGAGGCTTCTGATTTGATCTTTAAAAAATATGGGTCTACAACGCTGTTGGGCTTGGGAACAATGCTGAGCATCAACGCTAGTGAAAACTCTACTAAAACATGGGGGGGTGGGTAGTCTTTTGGGATATACTCGAATTACTCGTTTGAGAACTTTCAGAGGATAACACTGTATTTGCCTGCTGTTGCATTGCATGGCCGGGCAGGGCCTTTCGCCACGAAAGCGCTAGAAAACTCGTTCCCGTTTGTCTGACCTCGGAATTCGTAGTCTTGCAAGCTGCAGCCACTTATCTTGTCTGGTTCGCGTGCCTAACCAAACCCAATTCTCAAAAAGGCTTATCCCAGAAACCCTGAACCCCAAACCCAAAGCCTTGAGCCCTAAACCCCAAACCCTAGGCCCTAAACCCTAAACCCCTAAACCCCAAACCCCTAAACCCTAAACCCTAAACCCTTAACCCTAAGCAAATCTGCGAAAATCAGGCCTCACCGGGATCGTTGCCGTAGGCGCCACAGCCAACATCCGGAATCTCGGAGGCCAGGAGTCGGAGGGAGATTCGGGTTTAGGGTCTAAGGGTTTAGGGTTTAAGGGTTTAGGGTTTAAGGGTTTAGGGTTTAGGGTTTAGGGTTTAGGGTTTAGTGTTCAGGGTTTAGAGTTTAGAGTTTCGTGATGAGAGTTTCGAGTCGCCATCTATCATTTAGTATATGCTTGGGCCCTAAGCGGGTTCCGGTAGAGCCCTGTTAGAGCACAAGGACCCGCAGGGCGAACATAGGAGTCTGCTAACATTCCCTTTCAATCCATCCCCACGAACTAAAACCCTATTCTAATCATTAAGGCACATGTATCACAGAACACTTACCGCAATAAGTAACCCTTTTCGTAACTAACACTAACACTTCTATATAGGTAGTTCTCTAAATTAGGGTTCTTTTTTGGGCCCTGTTTTCAGGGTGCCGTACTATAGTCGGGACCTTAAACACGACCCTAATTTAGAGAACTACCTCTTTTCGGGTCAGGGCCTGGGAAAATTGGAGGCGCGGGCTTCGGCTCTGACTTAACCTCGTCAGGTTGCTTACGTAGCGCAGCGCGAACAGAAAGAATTGTGCAGGCCCCACATCAGAAGGTGCGCTTGCTCTTCCCTGTCTGCATGAGCACTACAGATAGATAGTCGGATAGATGATGGGGTACCTCATGAATAAAAACAGACAGAGAGAGAGAGAGAGAGAGAGAAGCGAGGGCAGCTTGGCCATAACTTCAATGCTGTACAAGCACTGAGGTGACACAAACATGTAAAGGGGATACGGCTGAACGGCTATTGTACAGCTGCAGGTCGAACGGCGACAGGATTACCATGGGTCCAGTGGTGCCCTCTGAGCAACGGCTCGATCTTAAGTCTAGACTCTTGCAGTACCAAATCCTGACACCCCAAATCCGAAAACCCACAAACATAGAACCCTAACCCCAAACTGCACGATCCAAAATCTGAATCCTCAAACGCAGAACTCCCTAAAACCTGAACCCTAAACCCTCAAACCCTGAACCCTAAACCCTAAACCCTCAAACCCTGAACCCTAAACCGTACTAAGCCTACTACCGGCACACCACGGAGGCGCTCGGATCTCTGACAAGCGAAAGAGTGTTGACCAAGGCTCAGGCCACCAGCGCACCCTCCTGAACTAATATAGGCTTAGGGTTTAGGGTTTAGGGTTTAGACTTGGGGGGCCTTAATAATTAGAATAGGGTTTTTAGGGGGCTCCTATAAGGGCTACTATAAGGGTTTCGGGTTTAGGGGCCTTAACGATTAGAATAGGGTTTTTAGGGCTGATTATACTGCATTTATAAGAAAGAACCCCCAAAATGATATAGGTAAGTTTTAGGCCGCCTATATTATTGGGAGTTTAGATACTGGGGGTCAGGGTTATAAATACCTGACTCAACGTACTTCCTCCAATCCAATCCAGTTCCTGGTGTGGTCAGCAGCATGCTAGCTGAATAATTGTTACTTGCTCACCAAAAAGGGAGACTAAAGTAGCTAGAGCTGGGAGCACAGGCAGACTCCTTCTTGGAAAGTGGATTCTAGTTTTTGGACGGGGTCATGTTTAATCATGGCGTGGGGGCTGTAGACTCCCTGACACAGTAAGTACTATCTGTTCATATCCGGCATCCTCTCTAGAGAAGCAGTAAGCAACATGCACCCCTTCTACGCCGGTCGCATGACCATGACTTCGGCAAGAGTCTTGCGTTCATACCGACTGTACAAGTAGCATGTTTCAGGAGAAGGAGAAGGAGAAGGAGAAGGAGAAGGAGAAGGAGAAGGAGAAGGAGAAGGACAAGGACAAGGACAAAGACAAGGACAAGGACGGACAAGGCCAACAACAACACCAACAACAACAGCAACAACCACCACAACGACAACAACGACAGCACCACGACCACCACCACCACCACCACCACCACCACCACCAGCACCACCACCACCACCTCCACCACCACCACCACCACCACCACCAACGACAACAGCAACACCAACAACGACAACAACAACAACATCAAGAGCAACAACAACAACAGCAAACAAACAAACAAACAAACAAACAAACAAACAAACAAACAAACAAACAAACACAAAAACAAACAAACACACAAACAAACAAACAAACAAACACACAAACAACCAAACACACAAACCAACACACAAACAAACACACAAACACATGTCACAACCTAAAACACACAAACAAACTCACAGACAAACAAACAACCACCACCAACAACAACAACAACAACAACAGCAACAACATTAACACCACAAACACCAAGGACAACAACAACACCAACAAAAACAACCACAATGATAAGGACAAGGACAAGGGCAAGGACAAGAACAAGGACAACAACACCACCACCACCACCAACAACAACAACAAACAAAACAACAGCAACGACAACACCAACACCAACACCAACACCAACACGAACACCACCACTACCACCACCACCAACAATAACAACAACAAGAACAACAAGGGCAAGAACAAGGACAATGCAAACACCATCAACAACAACATCAACAACAACACAAACATCAACACAACCACCACCATCACCACCACCAACAACAACAACGACAACAACGACAACCACAACAACAACAACGACAACGATCACGACAACGACAACGACAACGACAACGACAACAACAACAATAACCACAACGACAACGACAACGACAACGACAACGACAACGACAACGACAACAACAACAACAACAACAACAACACCAACACCAACAACAACACCAATACCACCACCAACAACAACAACAAAAACAACAGCAGCAGCAACAGCAGCAGCAACAGCTGCAGCAACAGCAACAGCAACAGCAATGGCAACAGCGACAGCGACAGCAACAGCAACAACCACAGCCACAGCCACAGCCACCGCCACAACCACACACACACACACAAGCAAACCAGCACACAAACACATAAATATACGCACAACTCAAACACAAAGTAAGCAAGCGAGCAAACAAGCGACACACGAGCGCGAGGACATGATGGTCTTCGTTCGTATGTCATCGAAAAAGTACGTCAGCAGGCCTCGTCATGCTGGCCACACCTGCCAAAGTCAAGGCCACAAGACAGCGGCGCTCCGTCGTGCCGGCACCCGCCTCGCTGCAACGACGCCATCGCTTGACGGCTCTGGCCGGTTGGCTACGACTATGGGAGCCCATGCGGATTGAAGCAGCGACAACTGAGGACCGAGTGTAGCATCCTGGCAAGCTTGCGTGTACCGCACGGCACTTTACGAAGTCCTAAACACGAAATATTCCGACATTGGATCCTGCCCAGCATGGATTGTCAATGCGGTCTCGCCTGAACGGCAGTGGCCCTCACTGCAAAAAACACGTTTGAGACATGTTCTGGAGACAGGGCGTGCAAAAGGAATTGCAGTAATTAGCACAGCAAGGGCGAATGGCTCATAGGAGTCTTCATCACACTTGGCATTCCAGGACTTCCGTTGCAACTAAAACCTTTTGCATCCAGCCTGCGGCGCCTCTGCTGGGAAAGGTAGGGGGAGCATGCTTCACACCACTCCATTGTTTGCAGCATGCTCGGCACATCTGCAGGTCTCTAGCTACACATCAGCAATTAGTGTAGACTCACTAGAAGTACTTAGCAACTAAAACCTAAACCCTGAAGGTTTTCACGCGTGCCACGACAAAGGAAAAACCAACAAATTTTGGTTCCTCAAATCACTCAAAGCATTGCTGTCGCATGAGGGCTGCAGGTGAAGTATTTGCAGCACATGATGCAGCCGTGTTTTCGCAGACTTTAACGCGTTCTCACCCGGCTTCCATCTGCATGCCGGGTCCCTCACAATTTCTTGACACGCATTGGCCAAACTTGTGTGCCCCCCAGGCTCCACAATGCGATGCGCACTGTTGCGCACTACAGATCGTGTCATCTTTTGATCACCAAGAACGCAGGTGGGCTGCCCCTATCCGGCCCTATCGAGCTACCTACACCCAGAGGGTTCAACCACGAATCGAGCTAAAGAGCTTCGTTGCGAAGAGCGTGCCAAGCAACTGATGCGCCACCTTTTTTGCCATCTTGTGATGCGAGGCGGCTCCCTGTACTCCCCGGAGCCTGGGGCTCCATCTTTGCAGGGATCTGACTTGATCTCCGATGCGCGCCGTTGCTTGCTCAGGCGCTGGAGATGCTCCTTGATGACGTGGAGCTTGGCAGCTCGCCTGGGCTCTTGTTAAGAAATGTAAGATAGGTGACCAGAACAGAGATCTATGGTAAATCATCAGCTTCTTTTGCTATCGCGACTTGAATTAAGCCCTGAACCTTAAAAGTTCCGATTAGAAGAACCCAGTCGCTCTTGTAGCAGGCGGAGCCGTTGCTGTGCGGAGCTCTGCTCGGGAGCGTGTTCCTCATGAGGCTGCTCGCAGCTTCCGCCTTGCAGAATTAGACCATGAGCCGTCGAAATAAAATGATGATGATGATGGTGATTGTTATTGTTATTCTATTCTTAGTCTTACTATTTAATTACTACTCGTCCTATTCTCAATCTTGCAGTTCTTACTACTCTTACTCTCACCAGATTATGCCTGCATCAGCCGGGTCCCCGGTCCGAGGATTTATTCAAGGCGCTGCTCTGCGCGGAAGGAGTGCTCCGCAAGATTTGGTGCTCCTCTGTTGGATCGATGGCATGCACCTGCCACGAGCAGCACTCAGGAGCCTAGATAGTTGCCTATACAGCCAGGTAGATTCTTGGACTGTTACAGTATGAGTTGCACATGCATACAGAAATATTTCAGACATATATATATATATATATATGTATGTATGTNTGTATGTATGTATGTATGTATATGTATATATATATATATATGTATCTATATACATACATACATACATACATACATACATACATTCATACATATGGCAGTCTATAGGTAGAAAGCTGCGTTTCAAGAGGGCGTGAACCCACTCAGCAATTTGGGTGAAATTGAGACTTCGCAAAGTCAGCTCTGTTTGGTTGCTCTGGGAACGGTGAAAAGGACTATGGCTCGGGCCATCGTGTACACCAGCTCCTTCAACGTACTGGGTGTTTTCCTCCAACTTTGGCCCCAGATGTCAGAATCAGAAAAGCAAATGAACTCATTGACACGCACAAATAGATTTGTGCGCACGGACCACCAGTTGACTATCCGCATTCAGTCATGCCCTATATTTGGGAAGGCCAACCCCGAAACTGCACGCTAGCAATAAAAGCTGGAACGGAATAGTCAATGAAAGGAATCCCAACTGAATCTTGAATGTTCATCCTCGCGAGGCTTATGGGTCCATTAGAATCCTTACAAACCCTACAACACCCTCATACAGCACATATCACACATACAAAGCCCTTATGAATATGTCTCGAACACCTTCTCCTGGTTCCTCTCCACCTCCATGACCGGCAAATGCAGCTCCGCATCACTGCGGAGGTCTCTCAGGCCTCGAAGCCCCCAGTGACCCAGGCTTCGGGTTTGGGGTTCAAGCACCCGCTACCTCGGGCTTGTAAAGTTTATACTTACAACCGCCGTCAGAAGTGGGAATAAACATGACAAGTGATTTCTAATCTGCGCCAAAAGGCGTTCCAAGAGGGAGCGAGCCCGAGCCTCTCGCTCAAAGAGCTCGGCAAGCTCGGTGCCTGAGCCCCGTGGCTCAGGGATTTGGTGTTTACAGTTCAAGGCCTTGGATATTTAGGGTTTATAGGGTGTTCGATTTCGGCTTTCCAAGCCAGCGATTGGAAAGGTCTTCCACAGCTCGCGGAGCAGGAGACTTTGCCAGGATTTGTTGCGAGCTTGCACATAGATAGCCTACAGACGAAATAACCTGGCCGCTGATGTCGTCGGCGTGCCACATGTATGTGCATATATATATATATATGTATTTATTTACTTATTTACTTAGATAACCATATATACATACATACATATATGTCTTCCCTATTGATTGCGTCCTCCATATGGCGTCTATATGAGATCATCCAGACATAAAGAAACTGCAAATGTGAGAAGGTTGAAATGGACGACTCCATACTCCGAGGCGGACACCATCTAACCTACGTGCCCTTAACAGTTAGAATAGGGTTCTGGGGTATGTTACGTTTATATTAAGGACCCTAAGGAACCCTGTTCTCCTCTGTCAGGATTGGCCATTTGCCGGCGTCCGAGGTGCGGAGTTGACTTTCACGGGCTTGGGCCGCAGCAGCGTCGAAGGGCTCCGAGGTTGTCCAAAAGTCAGCTGGCAGCCATCCTGCGGTTTGGAGAGCCGCTTGCAATTAAAGGAAACTACAGGTGGGGAGTTTAGGGTATATAGGGCTTCTATAAGGCTTCTATAAGGTATATAGACCTGCTACAAGGCTCCTATAACGGTAACTACCCAGCTGAAAATGTCCTAGATGCAGAGTGCCAGGAACTGTGCCCAAGCTAAGACTGAGAGAAGGCGGGGTCCTGCTGCCGCCTGGCGGGCCTTGCCAGGAATTTTTGGAAGAGACCCACAATTCAGAATGTGGGCGTAATCTGGGAACCCAGACTCTCAGCTTTATTATTCTGATTCTTTGTTCACCGAATTATGTGTAGTACTAATAGTATATATATATATATATACAGATATAGATATAGATATAGATATAGATATAGATATAGATATAGATATATATATATATATAGATATAGATATAATATATATATATATATAGGTACAGTCGTCGAGTAGCAACGTTTGCGAGCAGTGCAACGATCCACGTTTTCTCGCCTCGATCGGCCCGGGGGCCTAAGCCCCAGTGCCTTCATCTTTTTTTTCGCCGGAACTTCTCACAAACCTAGGTTTGGGGTTTAGGGTTTAGGGTTTTCCTAACTCCAAACCCAAGTATAGGGACCTTAATGAATAGAAACAGGTCGTGATTTTTCTGATCTGTGAGAAAAGAACATGGCTTACTTTATCTTATATGGGGGTCTTGGTCTATGGTAGTGTGCGCTGTAATCCTTGTGACCACGAAACACAACCATGGATCCCTTCTTTCCACTTGAAGCCCTGGTTGATAAGCCTCTCTTTTCTTGACCCGACAATGAACACCTCAAACCTAACGACCTCGACCCTGCTAATTGGTCCAGCTCTTCGAGCCAAAAAGCTTAGAAGCCCCCCCAGCCCTATCCCTTCTGGCGCTTGTATTATACCCTGAAGCCCAACATATTGTGAGGGTCTGAATAGGTAGGAAAGTATCCTTGTATCGTCTAGGAAAGTATCCTTGTATCGTCTCTATCAACATCAATAAAGTACCTACTCTCCTTCTGATGCCCCCTATATTCCCCTACATTGGCATCCTTTCTGGCGCCTCCGTCGGCCCTTCAGACCCTACACTACTCTCAAATCACTATGGTACTCTTTAGAGGAAGCCTTGAAGGAGCCCCTAAAGCCTAAACCCTAAACCCCTTTTTGCATCCAGGCCTATTGCGACTGCCGGAAACCCCTAAACCCTAAACCCTAAACCCGCCTCTTGCAGCTCCTCCTGAAGGCTTCGCGTTTCCGCCGCGACCCGGGCCTCCGTAGCCCAGCAGGATGCCCGGGCATCCTCGAGATCGGCGCGGGCCTTCGCACAGGGTTCTGTAAGGATCTATCAGGGCACTAAGGGGGTTTGGGAATGTTTAGGATGTTGGGGCTCAGGGTTGAGAAGTTAGCTTGGGGATTTTGGAACTCTTTCGGCGATCACGCTCGGACACTCCAGGCGAGGCATTTAGGGGTTTCGCCGTCGTGGTGGCATAAAGTAGAGTAGCCGTAGACAGTAGCATGAAGGAGAGTAGTGGAGAGTGTGTAGCATAGTAAGGTACGGGCACTAGCATCATAATATCAGTGCAATAATTCTGGGTGCATGGCATCGGCCTGTCGAACGCTACCAGGCAGCAACCAGCAACAGTATTTCACGTTTCGGCTCTGCTTTGGTTGAAGATGATGAATGGTGCCGTTATTTTGCCGTTTGTTGTGTTGTTATTGGTACCGTAGATGTCTTATGGAAAGCCATGCTGCTTTGCAATATCCGAACCTGGTCTTTCAACGCAACCCCCCTCAACCAAAAACGCTCACATAACTTCTCCAAAGGGAATACAGAGCACCGTAGGCTCTCATGATCTTGCATGGCCCAGATCCTGAACCCTAGTTTCTCAAGCTTACCAGGGCCTACACAAACTCAGAAAAGGCCAACCTGGTCTGAGGCTTCTCTCAACGAGACCACGTGCTGCTCCCTGAGCATCTCGAGGATCGGTTCGCGGTTTCGGGGGTTCGGGGTGGAATTCTCGGCGCCTCTGGGAAACCTCCCCAGCTCTCCGAGAAAGTCCGAACCGTAACCCCTTCTACCGGGAGCTAAAAGCTTAAGATGTGAACCCCAGCATTCAAACGAATGCTCATGTGTCAACATGTTGTTTTACTCTTTATTCTCACTATCACCATCAGTATTATTATTGTTGCCGTTGGTATTCCTAGTAATACTATCTTTCTACTATTATTGGTATAACTCATGTCACTATTAATGTTATTCATATTGTTGATATTCACACTGCGAGTGTAACTACATTTATTGTTAGCTTAGTGTTACCATTATGATTGCCATTACTAGCCGTATCATTATTACTAATAATGGTACTACTATTGCCAGCATGTTTTTCCAATTATACTACTATTCTTAGGATTATCATTCTGTAGTTATTACTACTATGACAATCACTATTACTGTTCCTAGTAGCATGTTCATATGTATTTATCCTGTTTTGTTGTATGTTGTGAAGCACATTATGTCTTGCTTGTTCTCTACTGTGTACTGCAAATATGTTATTTCTCGTTTGCTACTACTTGCTATTACTATTAGCTTTTTATTCCTATCACAACTTATGATTTTAACTTTCGTTGTGCCTGTTGTCATTGCTGCTACGAACATTGTATTTAAGATGACACTTACTGCTGCTTAGTGGTAGCAAATGTTCCCCCTGACACCCCAACACATTCCGCAGCTCAGGGGCAGCTGCCGGAGCTCGGCAGCTGATTCCTCAAGAGGAACATGGATTTGGGTAGTTCTCTAAATTAGGGTCCCTTTTAGGGTCCTTTTTTAATAAGGGTGCCGTCCTATGTTGGGGACCCAAAAAGAGACCCTAATTTCGAGAGCTCCCCACATGGATTTGCAGGGATGTGTTTAGAGTTTACGCTCTCGCAACTCGGACTCCGCCAGACGAGGCCTCTGTGTCCAACTGTGTTTAGCGCCTAGGGTTTTGGGATCTTACGCATCCGGGTGTATCATGGGTGTACAGACTCATGGTGCAGTATAGACTCCATGCAAGGTCAAAAACTTTTAAGGCCTGTACGGCACTGTAAGGTGCAACGGGATAGCCTGGGGTCTTTTCATTGAGGGGCTTTGGAGTCAAGTTTAAGACCTGTAAGGTGGAGAGGGGCAGCCAGTGTCATACACGCAGCTTTTTGTGTTGAGGGGCTTTGGAGGCCACGCTAACAAGTTTGTAAGCTGGAGCTTTTTTTGCGGGGCACCTACTACCCTCAGGGAGATTGACTAACTGCAAATTATCAACGTGGCACTAGCCCTGCTTAGACCCTTTCCTCGTTTCGAAAAAGAAGACGAAACCGACGCCGATGCTGAACCTCAGGAACTTCTGGAGACCTGCATGCTCGCCATAAAAACGACATCTTAAAACCTCGCTGACACTTTGAACCCAGTTGAGAAGGACGAGTGTACCCTCAACCCTCAACCCTACAACTTGCAGCCTCGAGCCCCTAAGCCTTAAGCGCCATGATGGCCTTCTACGCCTGAACCCTGAGACCTTAACTCTATATAAACTCTTGTAGGATCCCTTGAAACAAACCCTAAGTAACCCCAAGATCTCCGCGGCCCAGGTGCTGCTTCTGCGCGACGGGCTTTCGACGCAGCATCTCGTGCCTGACAGTAAGCCTTGGAAGCTTGGTTTAGGGTTTAGGGTGTATGACTTCATGGAGTCTTTATCGGGCTTCATTGGTTTATGACTGTAGGGCGTCTTTAGTGTGTTATTGAGTTTATTTTGCCTCCTACATCGCTGAGCGAGTCGCGAAGTAGGGTTTGAAAGGACAAGTATAGGATTCAAGGCTTTGCCGGGCTTTGAGCCTTTTACCGCTCGTGCAAGGGTTTGACAGGGGTCGGTACGTTCGTTCAGGCTTCTTCTGAGTTTTTTGGGGCCCTTGTAGGATTCGCATGGCTATACATAGAGTCGAACAGTTTCTCGCAATCAATATTTCTAAGGGTCGTTGATGCTGCATGCGATGTGCAGCTACCGGGACGGTGTGCTGTGAGGTCGCGGGGGTGTTGCAAGTCGCCACGGTTGGGAGTTTGCGCACAGTGCCTGCTGCTCTGACGTGGTGTTTCGGGGCTAACTGAGCTTTCTGGAGCCTGGAGGAGCTTCACTTCATTAAGCAGACCATGGGTTTACAACGGCTTAGGATTGATATCGGTTTGGGACCGGATTTCAAGGACCCTAGGTTTGGATTCAAGGATTTTGCTGGCTAAGCCCACACCATGAATGCTGTCATGATGAGCATTATGAGTACTTCTTATCAGAATATTGCTATGGGGGCCTGAAGTATTAGAATAGGGTTTTGGGGGTATATTATGCTATAATCAGAAAAGGGAACCACCAAAATAGTATTGGTAACCACTTCTGCCCAAAAAATACAGTAACCAAAAACTGATGATCCAAGCAGCCTGACGCCACCTCAGCGAAGTGACGCAAGGCTTCCGGCATTCAGGATCGCGGGCAGACATGCTTAAACCCTAAACAGTGTAGGAGAGGAGGGTCTATAGGGGCTTCGGACTTTGCTCGATTTGAACAGTAAATGTTTTAGGTTCCCAGAGAACCCAATAACCGTTAACGAAGGAGTATACCTTAGATTATAGGGGCGTTAATATATTCTGATTTAAGGTATATTCTTTAATTAAGTAGTATTGGGTTCTCTGGGTTTGGGGGTGGGCTGAAAATAGGCCTAAGGGCATCTTGGGTGAGCTAATGACCTGCTTCCGCGCATGGCCTCATTCATGCTCAGCCCATGACGAAGTCTTGCCGTTGTAGCGTGCTTACATATACCACTCCCATACCAGAACAAAGAAGGGTAGGCTTTCATCGTAATCATAAGCTATATGGCCGCTGAAGTTGACCCATAAGTAAGATTAGTCCATGCCAGCATGATTGGCACACATTTCCCAAAACCCCGTTCTAATTCTCCAGGCACCTGTGTTACATAAGGCCAGATAAGGCCTGAGTAACTAGAATAAGGTTTAGGTAGTCGTATAATTACACGGAACCCTAACATATGGAGTAATATGAAAAGTATTGAGGCTTTTAGATTAGCGCAGCTGTTTTGGAGCTGAGCTGCTCCTCGGCTTCACGTCTTTGGCGAAGCTCCTGGCACTCGGCTTGCCGGGTGAGGCGGTGCAGCTCCTTTCCGCAAGTGGGCTCAGGGGTGTCGGGTTTTAGCGGTTAGGTTTGTGCCAGTGTAGGTTTTATAAGCCGTGATGCTTGCGAATCGCTGTGCTCTTAAAGGCGAGATGTGCGGAATTAGGGCTCCTTATGACTAGGATCCGGTTCCTATCAGGGTGCCTTACTTTCTGAAAGTCCGATATTGTTGCATAGGATGGATATTTTGGGGGGAATGCGGGAGCCTTCCGAAGGATGCGGAGTCCTGCTCAGCCAGGTGCAGCTCATCTGCGGCAGCCTCCTGTCGAAATGCCTCCAATCGGCAACTGCCCTGCCCTGGGGCCTCAAAGAGACAAAACAGTGGGTCCAGGGTGCCTAGATGAAATCATAATTCGGCTTAGAAGTTGCTTCAAGTCGGGCATCTATGACATACCGCTATGGCCCATAATCCCCCAAAAGATACTTCAGTTCTTAAGACCCTACTTTACTTATTATAACTACCCCTGACTGAACCCAAGTAAACCGCAGATAAGTGACAATTTCAGAGAGGACGCTCCCCCCCCCCCAAAAAANNNNAAAAAAAAAAAAAAAAAAACTGCCCCTGCATCCCCCCCTCATGCTCCCACACTGAAAACAACAAGTTCAATGTCAGCTTCTGTATTGCGCCTCAACACGGCGGACATTTTGTCCGGTCGGGTCTTCCCCTGGCTGATGTTCAGGGTTGTGGCAGCGCTACAGGGTGTGAGGATTTAAGGTTTTGGAGTTTGCGTGTTTTCGTACTTAGAGACCTAAACCCTAAATCCTAAACCCTCTATAGAGATACATTGAAGGCTTTCAGGCTCTGGAGACTCTCCAGTCTGACAATCCTGTTGTACGATTTTTGGGTTCTCGCTCTAGACGGAGTCCGGCGAGGATTTGGGGAAACAAGCTGTGCAGTGAAGGGTTTGGGGTTTTCGTGCTCTGATGGTTTCAAGGGTTAAGTGACCGGGCGGTTTGCGGAGGGCTTTATATTGGCAGCGTACGAGTTTTCAGGGCTTCATGTGTGGTCCGCAATAAGGTTCCAAGTAAGTATGCTTGTGTAACTACGCTACTAGTTACAGTAGTTATAACTCTACCTGCCACCCACGCTTGCCGTAACACTACTTACCTAATTAATTACTTGTCACCCATAATCCTTGCAGAGCTCCCTGGCAGGAAGCCGTGACTTTGGACTTTGGCCTGCTGCGAGCCTCGTGGCGTGGCCTGCAGCTGCTGCCAAAGGCTCCGCAAGCTTTGCTCCTCCGCGCGTAGATGCTCCAACTCGTCGTTTGCGACCTGACAGGATCCACCAAGGAAAGGCTTCACCTTGACGAATACAACATACTCATTGCAGTGGAAGCCTACTAGTCACGACTCACAAGGCTACATGAGCTAATACCTGGGACCCCAAGTCCACAATTTCTACACCCACCCTGCCGCCTGGGCGAGAAGGTTTGCGCCCTGGAAGTCCTGAACGTACCAGTGAGGCAGGCAATGTGGCTGACTTGCGGTGAAAGAACTACACAGAAACTCTACGTGCTTGTGCTCAAAGGGCCTTAGAGCTTGTAATCAAAGGGCCTTAATCCTATTTATGTTGTAATGTAAGGAATGTTTTATAGCTTCCCCTAGACTACATATGCTATGCAGCATCAACATCTTATAGAGCAGCAGGCCTGAGACATCGGTTTTGGCGGTGCAAGCAGCACGGATGCCGACGACGCAGCCGCAGATGTCTCCGTCTCACGTAGGACCGCCGGCGCTGCCAGGGAAACATCTGAGGAGCGAGAAACCTTCTTTGCCGCGAGGCACGGTGAGGCGCCCAAGTGCGGAGACATAGGGCCAGTGAATGGTGGCGAGACCGGAGAGTGCGCCAACTTGGCTCTGACGTCTAGAGCCTCTACTGTACGTCGTGCTGGACCCCGCGTCGGCAGAGCTGCTGTCAGTGATGGGCTGCATGGTGCAGCTGACGATGCAGACCCCTGGCGCGGTTCTCGAGTAACTCTGCTTCTCTCGCACACTCGCACGGGTGACAAAGGTTGAAATCGGGGCCGAAATTTAAGAGCCGTGGCACGCGGCATTCAAGGGCATTGAGCTCGTGCGGGGCGCGAGCATCATGACCGGGCTTGGCTGGCCTGCGGACGACTCACCATAATTCAACCTAGACGTAATGGAAGCTTACAGACTGCACGAGTGTCCAGAAGAACCCTGACCACTGGACAAATCGCTCACAATCCGGGCTCGAAGCCGGCAGGCTCCAGGCTTATAGGTTTCGTGATGAGGATGTTTGTGGCACAAACCGATCATTCCACGATGCCTAGGCGGAGGCAGGAAGGCAGCTAGGCCCTGTGCTCTCTCCATGGCACAGCATGATTTGTCTGCTTGCCCGGAAAGCTTTCAGGTCTGGAGCTGTTCGCGAGTGCAGGGCCCTATAAATGCCGAAACATAGGACATCGCAGTGTTTGAACTACAAGCAACAGATACCGAGTCATCCACCTTGAGCCACATCGGCTGTACGGACGCGCAGTTGCAAGCTCCACCATTGCTTGACTGCCCTGTCCTACTTATGCCTTGCCCGGCCATGCATTTAGTATAGTCTAGTATAGTATAGCATATCATATCAGATTACATTATGCTATACATGTATATTATGCAGCAATTCTCAGCACCTAGCAGCACCCAAGAATCAGATGAAAACCAATCCCCTGATGCTGCTCCCACCGTCTTTTGCGTGCTTTGGCGGCAGCCAATGCTTTTGGCTTTGGAGGCTAAGAAGGCAAACCCGTGACTTCGGGTGAGCTCTCGCAAGCACCATATGAGGCCGCGTTCGCTGCAGCATGAGGGCTGCAGTCGCCTTAGAACCCGTGGACAACTGACTCGGCGTTTCCTGCGGCAAGCCTCAACCTGGGCACGTTGGACGAACGGCAACCTCTGAGAAGTCAGGTTGGCACTCCCTGCCCAGTTCCGTAGGCTCCTGGCGCAAAGGCTCCCCAAAGCTCTCCTCGCAGAAATACATCAGGATACCTCCGGCGATCCTTGGCTGAAGCTTCTTCCGTTCCAGAACAATGCAAAGAAACACATGCGCAATATGTTCGGGAGCTACTGTTGGCCGGATTTCCCGGTGTCTTGGCTAGTGCAAACATATGCACGGCAGTACCAAGCAAGCTAGAGTTTTCACCAACGAATCCTGTTCGGATGACCTGTCGGTTGATATGGCCGTGTGTCATTCCGATGGCCATGAACAACATGGGCAGCTCAGGATAAACCACCTGCAGGTGCACAAGAATCATAGCGGAACGTTCTCCACCTTTCGTACATGTCGGGTGCCAGTGTCAAAAGTGCGCCCATGCTGCTATTCTGTCTCGTGTCTGCAGAACTCAGCCGAGGTCTCCATGTTAGGCTGCATGATTCTACCTTCTTGGCCCCCTGGAGCCCTCCCACCAGCAGCTCGCCGACGCTGGAGGCACTCGTAATGGCCCCGACGCTAAGGCAGAAGTTGATGACTCCTTGAAACGAGGGGGATGACACATTATCGGGTTTAGGGCTTAGGCTCGTTGTGGGGAATGTGATATTGATATTCTGATGCACGGCACCCTTTCGCCCGAAACCCTGTGTCGGCTTTGTCTACATAGCCTCTTGCTCAGCCTGTTACCCAGGCATTGCGCACCCCGACTCCTGAAGCTGATGCCGTGAGCAGGTGCTCCGAAGACGTTCCATCAACATATACACAAACACACACCCACACACACACACTCTCTCTCTCTGTATATATATATATATATGTGTATATATATATATATAACATTATCTACATATATATATATAAAAATAAACATATATATATATATATACATATGTGTATATATATATATACTTGTATGTATATTACAGGGGCCTGAACGTTGCTATTCCTAACGGCTCCCTTGTATGGTTAGAGTATGATACCCCCATCAAATCGCATTCTGATTGTTAAGGCATCTCTCTTGATTGCAACCTGTGGATGGCCTGGCGCGGTGGATCTGACAGTCGTCGGGAAGATTTCGGTCATATACACACCTGCCGAGAACAAGACGCACAGAAACAGGGCGTGCTGTCTTCGGTCATGACTATGTTGTGTGTTCTTCTCATATCTGGAGGCACTTCGCTGATTCAGCTTTGGCATGCCAGGAAATTTCAAGCCCGGGCTGTTCAACACATGTGTTCATCAGTGTGCTTCGTGCGGCTGTTGCGCATCCTTCGGCAGCTGCCGATCCACAAGCTTGAAAGTACTTTACAACAGTGGCAAGCGATGTGACGGAAATGCTCGGCCACTGAAAGGCAAAGTGGATTGTGGCAGCGTCTTAAGAGCCTTCATTGGAAGCATGCAGTAGCGCAAAGATTACATTGCTCGCCGCTCTCACACGGTGAAGATGTCAGAAAGGAACGTCTGCTCAGTCTCCTCCGTCTCAGTATCTCGGCACTTGTCGAAGTTCGAGTTTGCAAACAATCTGGGTGCGATCGTCTGTATGGATGAAACAAGCAGGGTCTTCCCCATCGGGCTGTTGGCTTTGCGAAGGACGGCTGTCAGGGCCGCATCCTCTACCTGCTCCTTCAACGTCTTCGGCGGCGCAGGGCTGTAGAACCTTATGTCCCAAGTACACATGAGGTGAAACTTGCCGAATATCACAAAGTCAAGATTAGATTAGAAGTCAAGTTCGGGTACCTTTAAACCCTTTTCGATGCCTTACCCATAGGCCCCACAGTAGTTCCTTTTTGGGATTACCTTACAGCCTTATAGGATTTCTAAGTATGAACCCCCAAAAGGAACTACTATGGGGCCTATGGGTACCGCCTTAACGGACCCACCCCTGAGCTCATTTCAAGAAACTCCGTGGAGTCCACGAAGGGCCCGAAAGTCCGGCCCTGGTCCTTAGTTGCCCATTAGGGTCCCTTTGAGGGTTCAGGGTTTATAGGGTTTAGGGTTTCAGGGTTTAGAGGGTTTTAGGGTTTAGGGCTTTTAGGGTTTAGGGTTTTAGGGTTTAGGGTTTAGGGATAGTAGCAGGGTTTAGGGGTTTAGAGTTTGGGGTTTCGGCGCTCACACTCGGACAGCCCAGGCGAGGCATGTGGAGTTTGTGGTTTAGGGTTTTGGGGTTTACAGTTTGGAGCTTTGGGTTTAGGGGTTTAGAGTTTAGGGTTTTGAAAATTTTGGGTTGTAAAGTTTTTGCCTCCCTCATTGCTGAGCGGTCACCTGGCAGGGTGTTAGGTGACATTCCAGTGAATTCATCGAGCAGCTGGCACTCTACTAGTCAACCGGACAGAGTAGACAGTGACAACTTTCGGCACCATGGTAAGTCACCGCTTTCACATCTCAGGTTCAACAACATGCCGTCAGTCATGTCAACATCCTCGTTGCTAATAATTCACATTGAAGTATAAAATTCCATGCAGTTACCTGACTCTCGTCAGTATCCACCTCGGGGCCGCCAGGCATACCAACGCATCAGGACCCTTACTTTTGCTTTCCTTCTACACTCCTTACATACCTTTCCGACGCTCTTTCTTTTCTTTCATTATTTCTTTCCGCTCTATTTATCTCCTTCTTTCTTTCCTTCCTTCGAAAAGCTTTGTATTATGCCGGGTTCGTCCTGCCGCTCTCTATCTTACCTACAATTCTTTTGTTGTTTGCCTGGAAATTTCCTTCGATGCTTGAAAGGTGATTATTGATTGCTTGCTGTTGTTTAAATGCCTTTTTTCCCATTGGGTGGCTGTGGAGAAGGAAAAGATAAAATGAACGGTGGAAGGGTGACAGACCGAAAAACACAGAATGACTCTCAGTGGATCGTGCCAGAACGGATATTGTCAGTACTCACAATACCGGGATTCCATTAAACGGTCTAGAATCTAGAAGAGACATTCCGCTCACAAGGCATGAAACTGCTATTCACTCCAGTACCTTTAGCGGCGATAGAGGCCGGTAGATGTCAGAGTCAACGCTTATTTGTTGGCATGCTGCAGGGAGCGCACTGGGAAACATCGCAGCGATTTAGAGGCGTTTCGTCGTAATCCAATTCCTGAGAGCTTCGCAGTAGTATCTTTTCAACTGGGCTAGCCGCATTTAAGACAGTATCTGCACGTAGTGTGCATCTCGGACGGTCGCAGCATCTAGTTCAGCAATTACAGGTGGCTGTAGGATTCAGGGCTTCTAAAATTCTATTCTCCTCACAACGAGCAGAGTTTACAAACTCAGCCGCCAGGGATCGATGGCCATCTCGCAGGCCTCGATGCGATCGAGACCACGATCGGGATTGAAGAGGTCCTTCTTGTGGTCTACATAGGTTTAGCGGTTTATCGCCCTATATGTGGCTTTATAAGATCTTATAAGGACGCGGTCCGGTTGGAAAGCGCGCAAATACTTTGAAGCGCTGGTGTTTAATCCTGTTTACGGTGTAGTACTTGGGATTGCTGCGGAACTGCTCGGGGCTTGGATGGCCTGCCTTAAGGGCCTATAGGGTTGAAGAGGCTTCGATAGACTGCTTTAAGGGCTTAGGTTTAGGGCTGAAGAGGTCCTTGTTCAAGGCTTCCAGCGTCTCTTGAAGAGACTTGAGAGTTCCGGCATACTTGGGATCGTGTGCCAGGTTGACGTGCTCAGTGGGATCCTCCTCGACATTCACAAGGCAGCCAGCCCCACAGTCGATAGTCCAGGTCTGTCTGTCGATTTCGGCCGGCGACTGGGCAACCGGCAGGGGCTCTCCAAAAACCTTCATATCTTGCTGTGGCGGCAGCGGCCCGTTTTGGTCTTTGAGTGAGTGCACCGTAGAACAATTGGGATAAAGCGGCCCCTGCCAGGTACTGAGGACCTGCTTGCCTGTCACCAGTTTGAAAGGCCATCGCAGCACAGCCTGTGAGCTGAGATGCATCGGCCCTGTCCGGCCGGGCTTGTCATTGATGATGTTGTCCCATTGTGCATCGGCCCTGTCCGGCCGGGCTTGTCATTGATGATGTTGTCCCATTGCGGCACGCTGTCCACTGGATGAAGCAGTGGCAAGCCCTTCTCCTTTAGGAACTGGTTAGCCTTATCGGACTTGTGATCGGTCATATCGACACCCGCCAGCTGCGTGAGGGTACCATACCAGTCCGCGACGTTGATAATGCCGGTGTATTTTGCCCCTCGCCTTTTCTCAGGCACAAACCCGCCAGAAACCCAAGCATTGGTACGTACGCCACCGTCCCAATCAGTGTATTTGCCACCTCGCAAAGGGTGATTGGAAGCAGCACCGGGCTCGTAGATGGGGCCGCCGTTGTCCGAGGTGAAAATAATCAGTGTGTTGTCGTACATCTTTCTCTGCTTCAGTGCATCGACAGCCTCGCCGATGGCGGCATCC